CACTGTGTCCTCAGGCACATGCAGCATGACAGGCAATTTAAACCATGCTATGGTAGCCTCTTACTCAGAAGCTGCTGTTTCCACAGGAAACAATTGCTATCAGAAGTGAGGACATATATTATCTCATGATAACAAACATCCCCACTAATACAAGAAAAAGAACAAAAGTATGTGCCCAGGCTAACAGGGTACAGAAAGCACTCTGCACACAAGACAAAAATGAAGCACAACTGGCTGGGCCCAAGAAACCTTTAAAACAGATTGATCTAAGGAAGCTACATCAACCACGGCAAAGAAGAAAACAAGGATTAAACCAAGTCCCTCTCCTTCCCACGTGCACAAAAGGTGACAAGCACTGCTTCCCTTAGGCATGCTTGCAGTCTATAAGGAAACAAGATACCTTCTGACCTGTTCCCAAAATGAGCCAGCCAAGCTGCAAGCACCCTGCAAGCTCTGTTTTCCTGCGTATGCCAGCGTTCCTCACAGCCGTAACAGGGGCTACAGGTGCCTGAAAAACTTCCTATGGAAGGCAAGGTTCATTACCTACAAAGGTATTACCCTTTCGAAGCACTTTCTTCTAGCACCTCTTTGAGGGAGGGGTTCCCAGCATTGTTCACCAGTCAGAAGATAGAATGAGGTCCATGGTTTAGCAGGAAGTGAGGATGAGAACGTTCTGAGCTACCAGTTTTCCTACCCCCACTCTGTTAAAACTAATCATAACAGCAGGAGACCCTTCCTAGCCAAATCATCAGAGCAGCATGAAAGGGGGAGGAGGGGAGAGGAGAAAGGAGACAGTCCAATGCTTCACCTTCCTCAAAATCACTCATATAACTTGCTGGCTACTAGGATTTGCTACCAGGATTTGTCGGTATCTGAGCATCCATTCAGCAGCTGTATCCCTCTGGACTACTATATTTCAAGGTGCTATCTGGTTTCTAAGGCAGGTGTAGCCCTGAGCTTATTGAAGGCTGGACTCCTTTAAGTAGGAGATAACAGCATCTACATATAGCCTGGCTTATTTAACAGACCGGGTTACCTCTCAGCGAGAGCTGACACGGTCACTTCTAGAAAGAAAATATAAATAACACTTTGTCATTAATATAGAAATGGCAATAGAGCTCAGAAATGCTCCACACCGTGTCCCACATGGGCTTTGCACACAAATAGAGGCCTGAAGGCTTCAGGCAAGAGGGAGAAAGGAGAGAATCAAGCTGATGCGGACACAGAGGAAGAGGAAGTGGGGGAGGGACTTCTCCACATTACCACTTTTGTGTGTTTGTCAAAGCTTAAAAAAAATTAAGTCCATGAGAATTTGGAGTCTCTGACAAGCTCCGCTTCTCCATCCGGGATCATCTGGACAGGTCTAGTCACCAATTTGGCTTCTCTCCAAGGGATGAGATCCAGCACCTGAAGGATAAAGAAAACTAAGGAACATTGTATCTAGAATATTGCATCCAGTTTTGAGGACAAGAACAAGACATTGACTGACTGGAGTGAGTTTAGTGGCGAGCCAAGATGCTCAGAGGGCTGGAGCACTTGCCCTAAGAGAAGAAGCTGAGGGACTGGGGCTTGTTAAGCCTGCAGACAAGAAGGCTTCGGGGTTCCCCCTGGCAGCTTCGCAGTACCTACATGGAGGTTGTCACAACGATGGAGCCAGGGTCTTCACAGTGATGCATTGTGGACAAGAGGTAAGGAGCTTACATTGAAACATGAGATGTTCAGACTGGATACAAAGGAAATCTTTTCCCCATGCTGGCAGCCAAGCATGGGAACAAGGGCCCAGAGAAGGTGTGCACTCTGTGTCCCCGGAGGTTGTCACGGCCTGACTGGAGAAAACTTGGTCTAAGCTGACAAACTGAATAGCTTGGTCTGATCTCAGAGCTGGCCCTGCTTTGATCAGGAGGCTGGACTAGGTGATGGCCTGGGGTCCCTTCCAACCTAGGGTACCCTACGATTCTACGAACATCCTTAAAAACAGCCTGGGTAAGGCAGGTAAGGTATAGCCCCTTCATTCTGTGAGTCATTCTTTTTTCCCTTTGCATATGTCCACAGGAGAGACTTTCCCACATATTCTACAGCAATTCCAAGTTTTTCACTCTTTTTTTTTAATCCTTCAGCTTGTCTGTAACCTTCCAGCACTCTGGCCTTGCCTGCTTAGGCAGCTCACCACAGCAGTCCCAGGCTGTGGGAGCTCTAATGGGCGCCTGGTACTGACAGGCGCAGTCACTTTTTCCTCTCCCCACAAAGGATGAGTATGAAAGCTCTTACATGGTTAGATAGTAAACTATCATCTTCTATTCCCAAAACTATGACCAAGTGAGCACATGTAACAAGAGAATAACACTTTGGAGTGAAGGATTAGCCAATAACCTGCTCTTATGCAAAGGATGGCAGTAACTTTTATGGCTGCAAGTACCTAGGAAGCTGGCAGCATTTCATACGCTAGGACAGAGAGGTAGTGAGTAATCAAAAAAAGCACACACGTTACCTGTGGCCTTTGTGGTCATCATCAGCTTCTGGGAGTTCAGAGTGGGACTGGGAAAGAGCATTCTGGCTTCGTCCTCCTGAGAGTAGTTCTGCCGCAGGAATGATGTTGCCTCGTAGCACACCTCCCTCTCGTCCTGTACCTCTCCTATACCTTGGCAGTGCAGATACGTATCTAGCTCAGGTGTTCCATCCCAGGAACTACAGCCTCCTGTGTGGGTCCCTTGGAACTCTGTAGGTAGGATCAGCTCACAGTCTCTGTCTTCAGGAATTATGGGAATGCGTTGACCCAGATCACATACACCCTTACAGCAGCTTGGCAAGGTGTCATCAGGAAGCGTGTACTGCACATTCACTGCATAGTCTTCTGTATAGCAGCCACCACCTCCACTGCCACTGTTACTACTACAGGCTACCTGCTTCTCTTCATAGAAGCAGCACGGCAACCCCTCATATTTTACCCCATCTGTCCTATGCAAGTGGTCTGAGTTAATACTGTACAAGCCTGGGGTGTTCCCTGACTGTGGTTCTATTCCTGGGCCACACGTCCCCCACAGCGGAGAGCTAAGGAAGAGTGCACTACAGTCAGCTGTCCCATTGCTAGGCTCCAGGGTGGAGTGCTGGAGTTCAAAGCAGCATGCGCATGCTTGCTCCATAAGCGGCCCTGCTATCTCTGGATTCTTCCAGTTCCTTTTAACATCCAAGGCAGCACCAGGAGTGGCCTCATGTCCTCCCTCTGAGGTAGTGCCATTTGGATCCCTGTGCTCTAATGAGGAATTACTGCTATAGTTCATATCCATGCTGCAATTAGACAGTTGGTCCCCTGAGGAAGAAGCTGGCACAGGCCGGCAGTCAGCACCCACCAGACTGTGACCATGAGCTGTAAGCTCGTCCTGGTGGGGGCCCTCCAAGAGAACAATTGCACTCCTGTTTGCACCACCAACCTCACCCACTCGGCAAGGGCTCTTACTGCGGTAAATGTATGGGTCATAGTCACTGCTCAAAGAGCTGCGAAAGGTGGAGCAGCTCCCGTAAACCCCTTGGTTGCTGACCTCAGTGCAGTCAACCATGGAATCGCTAGAGGAGCAGTGGCACTGACCAGAACTGCTGCTGCTGCTGTCACTCCCAGGGCAGTCAGCCAAATATCCACTGCACACTGAACGATGACCATGATAGCAGCTAAAGCTGGAGGTACTGCCACTCTCCAAGTGGGATGAGGGCACTACATGTACCACAGGAGGGAAAAGCATGCTGCTACCAGGCTGAAAGGCACGGGAAGGACCCTTTGAGGAAATGCCAGCTGGAGGCTGTCCATCTTGCTCAGGGTAACTAAGGCCTTGGAAGTAGTAGTGCTGATACATGGTCTCATATTGGGAAAAGCACGCTGGTTTCGAAAAGTTGCGTCCGCCAAACTTGGGTCTTCGGAAGTTGTGAGCTGGAGAGTAAGCCCTATGTTCCAGGCTACAATGATGCGTGTTTAAAGCATGGTCCAAATGAATAGGCTGATAACTTCGGATATAAGCTGGAGATTGGGCTTGGTAGAGGCTCTGTTCACTATGTCGCTCAACTGTAAGTACTGTGATAGGGTTTCCGTGAGGATCCATGCTTGTCCGAGTGGGATATGCTGTTATCTGGTTTGCTCTGTGCACTCGGCCCGGGTAATGGACAGGCAGAATCACCCTCTGCTGACGGCTGCGTGCTGGGTTGATGGATTCCAGGCAGACTGGACCTGCATTTCCCTTCTTCTGTTCTGAATAAGAGAAATAAGAGTGGAGAAGTAGAAGTAGGAAGGAATAAAAATGAATATACTTTATGCAAGAAAGAAGGATATTTTGTTCTCAATTTAGTTACGTTACACACATGTGGTTTAACCCATCAGGCAGCTAAACACAACACAACGGTTCGCTCACTAACTCCCAGTGGAATGGTGGAGAGAATTGCAAGAAAAAGGTAAAACTCGTGGGTTGAGATGAAGACAGTCTAATAGGACAGAAAAGGAAGGGAAAATAATAATAATAATAATAATAATGATAACAGAATATACAAAACAAGTGATGCACAATGCAATTGCTCACCACCTGCTGACCAATGCCCAGTCAGTCCCCGATCCGTGGCCACCACCCCACCGGCCAACTCGCCCCAGGTTTTGTTCAGCATGATGTCATATGGTATGGAATATCCCTCTGGCCAGTTCAGGTCAGCTGCCCCGGCTGTGTCCCCTCCCAGCTCCCTGTGCACCCCCAGCCTCCTCACTGGCAGGGCAGTATGAGAAGCTGAGAAGTCCCTGGCTTAGTGTAAGCGCTGCTCAGCAACAACTAAAACATCAGTGTGTTATCAACATTATTCTCATTCTAAATCTAAAACACAGCACTATACCAGGTACTAGGAAGAAAATTAACTCTATCCCTGTTGAAACCAGGACAGCGCCCAATAGAGTTAAAAAATAAATTAAAAAAAAGCACTAACTTTTTATACAGAAGGAAAAATAACAAAACAAAATCAGTCAAGAGCATCTGCTTGGAAGCCTTTGAAACACTCAACTGTATTGGCTTAAAAAGGACAAGAAGTGAAGTGATTTCAGATACTGTTCTCGAAGTGAAGTGATTTCAGATACTGTTCTCATATATGCAAAACCTTCTGCTTACTCATCATTCCTGGTCTTGCACATTAAAAGCAAAGTTAGCAATCATTGCTTGAGTTTTCACCTGGCACATTATTTTACATAATGTGTACTAATAAAAAACTTTTTCAAGACAGAGGAAATGGAAGGGGGAAAGGGCAAGTAAGGGAAGCCACATTCCAAGTTACAAGACCACAGAAAAATAAAAAACAATACATTGTCTTTTCTTTACAATCACCAAGAGAAAACATACCCATCTATTACAGCTGTTTGTCCCCCTGGCATACAGAAGCTGACCAACGCTGCCCTCTGCTGGGCATTGCGCCCAGAATGAGGGAAAATCAGAAATGTGACCTGCTATTCCAGGGCACGCAGTCATTTTCCAAGAACTTAGTCCTAACTGTATTTCTAGGGTTGCATTAGAATAAAGACTATGGGCTCGATGGAGATTTACAAACATGCACAATTTCTGTCTCATCTTGTAAGCTGTTAAATCTGAAATGGATAGGACATCTGTACTGCAGCACTTACCTATGATATTATGGCGGCAGTGAGGGCAGGTATGATGCTGCAGTAGCCAAGGATCCACGCATTTCTTGTGAAATCGGTGAGTGCAGGGAATGACACGCAGTTCCTACAGGAACAGATGAAGGAACATGAAAAAGCACTCCTTCCTAATGAGTGAATTTTTCACAGCTTATTCCTAGTTTTTTCAACCTAGCTACTAAGTGGTTCAATTCCAAGTCTCGAAGTGGTAAGAAGGAAAAAAAGTGCCATCTGTTCCAACACAGACAAAAGCACAACAGCTAGTGATCAGCTGTCACTAAAAGAATAGTCCACAGGCATGTTAGATATATATCCATGCAGCTATGCTACATTTCTTTAGGACACTTTTTGCTGTGTCCCTACGATCTAACACCTTGAAGGAGCCCACCATTAAAGTTTTCCTTAATGTATCTTAAATAAACTTTAAAAAAATATATCAATAGAGTCCATTTAATGATGCATCTTGCCTACAACTACTAGCAATGGAAAACACTCAGGGAAAAGCAAAAGTAACACAGCGTATATGATATTTTTTCTCTTGAACAGCATTCTCATCCTTCAGCTATTATCTGTTTACAGGATTTCCTAAGCCTGCTGGATATCTACCAGTTCAGAAACCTGCAACAGATCTTTCTTCCAAGTACTGCTCAAGTCTCCCCATGAGCTCAGGTTCTGAATTTGTAACATGCTTTGGCAAGAAGTTCCACAATGTGTGGAATTTCTCCACCGGTACCTGCTGGTGGAGAAACACCACATTTTTATTCAGATTAGGTCCTAGCAGTTTCATTTAATTGCACCCATTGTGTATTGGGAAAAAAAGGAACGACTGATTCCTGTTCATGCTCTCCATTCAAGATTTTGTGGTCCCTCTGCCCCAAGTAATCTAGAACCAAACAGTCCTAGCCTGCTGAGTCTTTTTTTTTGTACAGAAACCATTCCAAATCCTTGATCACTTTGTGACTGCCCTTTTCTGAAGCACCTTCATTTCCAACATGTCTTTTGTGAAATGAGGTCAGAAATGCACACAGTACTCAACGTGGCAGCATGACTGAACTTGCACAGTGGTGTAATTATGTTTTCTGTTCAGTTCTCTAGATTTCCCTTTCTCATTTCTAAAACCTCATTTGCTTTTTTGACTGCCACAAAGAACCAATCTGCTTTCACAAAGCCATCTAAAACAGCTTCAAGATCTTGCTCTTGAACGGTAATGCTCACCTCACAACCCATCATTAAATACATGTGAAGCTCTTCTCTATGTATATCACCTCATGCTGAAGTTCACGCATGAATTTCCTGTCCAGTTAGTTTTGTACAGCCCATCTGAAGTTTTTGTCTGCCTTCATCCTTGCTACTCTGAATAATTTCCATCAGCTAACTTCATTAACTTTCTGTTTGTAGTTTGTAGCATTTAAATACTGAAGCTGGTGTTTTCTATTGCCTGAAAAATGATGAATCTTTTATGAATAATTTCAAAATAAAATGTCCTCAAATCATCTTTTTAATGGAAGTTTAAAACTGTGATTATTGACTGCCTCTATTCTAAGGAGTCTATTTTCTATTTTATCCTTTCATTGCTTCCTCTGGGCAGAACAGTGTCACAGAAGGCAAGCACTGACATCAATGCAGCGATGGTAACTGAGGAGGCAAAAAATGGCTCCTGAACCTTTTCACATCTCCTCCTCTGGTTTCCCAGCAATGCCGTGTACCTGACATTTTAAAGATAAAGTGCCATCAAAGCTTGAGAATCAAAACATGAAACATATCCCTTACGTGCAACAGAGCCTGCATCCATTGTCACCTTAGCACACAATTTGTCAAAAACACCCAGGGAACTAAATGCTGAGGTAACCCTGATGTCTTTACGACTTCTGCATCAGAAAAGCAACTTGATGGAGGTAGCAACTTGCAGAATGGGATCCCTCACCTCTCACTTTGTAGTATGGGGAAAAGCCCTTGTGATTTCTTTGGGAGACGCAGAATGCAGCTGAGGTTGAGCTGGGTACTCAATGCGATCAGTGTGGCAAGCAGCACAACCTCAGTACACAAGGTACCTAACAGCCAGCCACGTACCACAGTGCTAAAATAAACCAGCTACATTCTCAGCCCATGCTGAAAAACACATTTATCCTTTACCTCCCCATCAATGTACTTCTCCAAGCAGATGGCACAGTCAGAGGTGGAGCTGCTACTGAGCGTGTCCAGTGCTCCACAGCTACCTTCCCGGTGTCCCTTACTTTTGGACTTAAACTTCCTGGTCTCCATTTTTTCCAGTGCTTGCACAGCAAGCCTGTTCATGGAATTCTACAACAGAAGAAAGGGAGAAAAAAAAAAAAGGCAACACTGCTGCATAAGGGACTATAGTGTAGTAGCAGAGAAACACCACGATATCAAATTAATGTATCTTACCAAATCACGTCAGACCTGGACTAATGTACAATTTCATAAATTAAGCAGAGAGAAGGCTAATTAAAATTTAGATCAGAAGCCTCACAAAAAGAATGTATGCCACATGCAGTAGTGAGAATGATAAGCTACTCTGAACCGAAACAGGGTGAAAGTGCTGACAATTGGGATACGCTGCAACGGTTCAATTAATAGGCAGCAACTATTCACGGCAATATATAAGACTTGGTCAGGAACTTTTTTTGAACTGTCAATATTGATTGCCATGCCCCATTATGCAGTAACCATGATATTACCAGAAGCAATACTTGAGAGAGGGATTAAAATGAAATGTTACTAAATTAACTGTGTCATTTCCCCCTCCCCCCAAATTTAATCAATAGTAGAAGTTGAGGAAGGCAGTGGGTTTTTTTCATTGTACTGGAGAATTTATTCTCCTCATCTTTAACACTGTTTTTTAACACTGCTGTTGGCCCATAGCATCTTTGGATTTCTACTCAGTATGTCCAAAGCAAGAGTCCTAAGCATCTATAGTGCTTTGCATTCCTTTTACATGTACATAGTCGACAGTTTACAACTACAAAATTCAGAGTCCGTTAGCTTTCATTTGCTTTCCCTATCATGTTTACTAGGACAAACTCAAAGCACCTCACCCAGAATTTCTCCTAACCAAACTTTTTACCTTGCAAACCTCTCCTGTTAAGAATGAATAGATGTTATTCTATTGAAAAGAGTTGCAATTTATTTTCAATCCTGATATTGCCTCCACAATACAGCAACAAGAGCTTGAAGTTCTTTAGAAGTCCACCAGTGCTACTGATAATCAACCTCTGAACAACCAGAAATGTTCTTCCTTCCCAACAGCTAAATGGTTTGCTTCCATAGTCTTTTTTTTCAGGATTTAACAGAACAAACACCATAGGTCAATGTAGCTGTCCTTTAAAGACACTTCCAAATTTTTCCAATGGCCTACATTCATGGATAAAACCCTTTCCAGAAAGATGGCTATTCTAAGTCAGTGTCCAGCATTTCCAAAAGCAGCGAGCAAGTTCTAGGACAAAGTAAAAGAAGCTGACTTTCAGCATTCAGTGAATATTCCATTACTGCTCTTACCTGACTACGTCGCTGTTTCAGTTTGATCTTGACAAGAAGAATGAGGCAAACAAGAGACACAACCACAAAGAAGGCCAGGAAAATTCCCATATCAAAGTACTCGGTGGGTTGCTTAAAAATTAAAACAAAAATATTATTTTTCCTTTCTTTAGATCATACTCAAATCGATGGCTCCTTTCTCTTCTCTTCTCTACTTTTTCAGCAGTCATTGTCAAATGTACACAGTCACAACGGCAAAAATCAAAGTACACACTGTTCTGTTCATTAACTAGGATTCTATGAGACAAAATCTGGGTTTCATATGTCACTGCAAGTGAATGAAATACACAGAATGCGAGTCATGAGATGTCAGATTTAGTGTCTCTGAACTGAGTGAATAACACTAACAAATTTTCATGCTTTACTTGGTTTGCTTGCATACTTAAGTGAGTGAAAATCAACATTTGAATTTTCAGCAAGTGGCCCACTTCTCAAATACATTTCTTTAACAGAAGAATTCCATTAAAATACAACAAAACTAAAGTGGTAACTGGGACATGGATGACCTCTAGCTTTGTGCTTCTTTTGTAAACTACACGTAGAGAGTGTTCAAAAAAACCTCTAGAAAAAATATTTTATATTACAATTACAAATATCAGGTGTCAAATACTTAATGCACGTTTAAAATACCACACAGAATTATTAGTTAACATAGGGCAGACTACCTCACAAATCTGAACTACCGGGATCGTGCAATAATTAAGTTATTCAATTAAGAAAAAGGAAAACTTTTATTATATAAAAATTTCAGCCATTCATATATTCAAAAGAATACTTATGAAAGACAGCAGGTGCCACATTGTGGATTCTATACTTACATCAAGCGTAGCTGCTTGTCCACAGTGCAGTTGCTCAATTTATTTAGGTCAACAGAATTTCTCATGTATTAATGCTCATGGGGAGCACCAAAACATCTTCACACTCAGTGCAGTTAGCAAGCACTGCATGAAGTAACAGCAGTGTAATACCTAGATAAAGTTTCTTAAAGTCTCACCCGTGGGGGGCGATGCTGAATCCTTGCTCGTGCCACTTTCTGCTTGTTAACTATGTTCATTAGTTTGACAGCATCAGCACCCTTCACATATACCACTGGTCTCTTCAGAGGGTCCTCTGAGCCCTGGTTCAGCTAGGACAAAAAAATAATCTACTCAGAAGGCACGTTTCAGGAAAACTACCTCTCTTTTGGACAACGAAAAGAAGAGTAAAGGAATACAAACATGGAATTGATTCAAGCACCAGTTGTTCTCTTCTAGCCTAGATTTTCACTTAAGTATTCCACAGAGTTGAACCTGAATTAAGTTTTTGACTTAAGCTGCTCTTTTCTTTTTTTACTGACCAAAACTAAGATTAAGGATAAGCAAATGTTATTTCTGAACAGCAGTTTTAACTTAAACACATTATGTGCCAGTGCATATACTAATACTGTAGTAAGTTAAACCTCATAATGAAGAATAAAAATCTGCACATTCCATAAAAATTGGCCTTGCTACATTTTCTGAACCTTTTGTTCTTTCAACTTTATAGCTATATTATTCATACACAAATTTCTCTAGCTTTCTGAACAATCTCACATCAGAGTCCTATCTTTCAGGCTTTTTGTATTAAAGTCTGTAATTTCTGCTGTTTAACTCGGCAAACTCATTCAGATGGTTATTTGGGTTCTAGCAACCACTAGAGCCAGTGATTGCAGAATGGGGGCCTCAAAGACTAAAGCATATGAGTAGCTTAATTCACTCTGAAACTTCCTTCCAGGTCCAGCAAGTTTTTTTGAAAGGCCAAATCACAGAATCAGAAAATAATGTGGGTGGGAAGGCGCCCTGTGAGTCCAACCTCCTGGTCAAGGCAGGGTCAAGTATGACATCAGACAAGTCTGCTCCAGGCTTTATCCAGTCAGATGTTGAAAACCTTCAAGTGTGGAGACTGCATAATTTCTCTGGCCAACAAATCCAGAAAAACAATCTGCTAAACTATATACCAGAGAGGAGAATGAGACAAAAGAATTGTTCTGTTACAAATGGCACGAACATGATCAATTCATATAGCTTATTCTGACCCACAAGAAAAGTCCTAGTATAGAGGCTGGTTGATACAAAAAAGCAAGGCACTGATGAGCAGATGGAAACGGTCCAGGGGAAAGGAATGAGATGACAGGAGTGTGAGCAAGCTGAACAAGAGTAGCATGGTTTAACCCCAGCCGGCAAGTAAGAACCACGCGGCTGCTCGCTCACTCTTCCACCTCCCTCGTGGGATGGGGAGCAGAATCGGGAGAAAGAGGTAAAACTCATGGGTTGGGATAAAGGCAGTTTAATAGTACAGCAAAGGAAGAGAAAAATAACAGTAACACTAATAAAAGAATATACAAAGCAAGTGACACACAATGCAGTGCCTCACCACTTGGAACCTGCTGCCCAGCCCAACCACCCCCTCCAGCTCCCCCAGTTATATATTGAGTATGATGTCATATGGTATCGAATATCCCTTTGGCGAGTTTGGGTCAGCTGTCCCGGCTGTGCCCCCTCCCAGCTTCTTGTGAAAAGTAACTCTATCCCAGCTGAAACCAGGACACAGAGATACGGTATCTACATTGTTGATATCTACCTGTTGTTTCTGGCTAAACCATGTAGAAATTACCAACTGACTGGTCTATCATCCTGCTTACAAAGTACTCTACTTAATCTGTCCAGATGATGGTGACAGATTTCATCATCATTTAAAACAGATTATTCCTAGTATTTGATCGGGCTTCTGAGAATACTGATCAAACTATTTTTAAGACAGATGTCTTTTGAAGGGCTAAAAACTAGCCGAAGTACTTGAATCCAACCCAGGGATCCTATGTGTCTACAAGGCTTGCTGGCCTAGTGCCATATCCAATCACTGTCCCTATGTTCCCAGACACATATTCTCTCTCAAGCTTTCTTGTCTAAGAAAGAATTTACCTGATTCCTCAGTAGCTTTTGCACACTGCCAGACTTTTGCTAAATATGATGCTCTGGGTGCTGCTACTCCTCTTCAAACTCCGCAAAAGTAAAACTAAGAAACAAATCAGACTTCACAGATCATTCCTAAAAATGAAAGTTTCATTCTTAGTCTACAGCAAAAGACACTCAGATCAATGGGAAAAAACCCCACAAAATCTGTATTTAAAGCCCTTCCATTTGGTAGCAATTCTGCTATCCAACTGTTGAAGGACAATTCTTATGGTCAGGGCTGCTTCCTATTTCTCTTCATTGACTGGCAGGAAGGATGGCCTTTCATAATACTCCACTCCTCCTTTCAAAGCACTCCCCCTAGTTGTACTGTTGCTTGGTAACAAGCATACCTGGGAAAGCTTCCTAAGCAGCTCCCCTCAGTGTCTCAGGATACTTCTTCCATTTGAATCAAAGACACTCCAGATTAACTCATGTTAGTTTTTCCTCCATTGTTATCCATCTGTCACTGTTTTCCACAATTCCATTCTGAGTGCCAAAATGGTACTTATTTTAAGGACAAATTAATTAGTATCCCCTGATGTCAAGCGTGCTGAAGACTTTGGCTGAGAATCAAAATGCACGACACAGAAGTGTCCAGAGCAGCATGGGAAGGGAGCCAATCAACTAACTCTTACGCTTAGAGTATGAAAGTTAGTCTAGTCATTCCTCTCCTGTTTCTGACTGTCTGCATAGGCTGCTGCTCTGTCCTCTAACAGAGCCGACTTTGTCAGCTACTGCACTATACCACTAACCTCCTACCATTTTACTGGTACACCCAAAATACTCATCCACTAGACTAGTTTCCCAGGTTTTGGGGACAGTTGCACCCAGTTTATTATCAAGAATCAAGGAAGGACAGCTGTTGCGGGTAGAGAAAAAAGAGCAAGAGGCAGTAACTCAGCTTCGCAAGTTCAGAGCAGGGTGGCTGAAAGTAACTAGAAGCTGTAACAGAGAAAGAAATGGAAAAAGACAGATCACGTCGTTCTGCAGATAATTTTTCTGTGTATAAAAGGGGAAAAAATATCCCCGAAAACGTCTGTAAGTTCAAGGCTGTAGCCTTGATGCACATGCAGAGCACCATTGTCAAAGCATCCATTGCACAGGGTCTGCATTCCTTTGCCCAACAGATGCTCATATCAGAATTAAAGCCAGCTTTCTTAACATAAACATTGATGGTCTCTCTTTTCCCCAAGAAATTCAGGCTGCACTTAAAGCACTTAGCTTCGCTTGTTTCTGCTGTAGTAGAAACAGCAGTTTTGTTTCAAGACAAACCAAAACTAAACCAAATACAGATTATTTTTGTGCTTGTTATGATTCTTCTCTCTACTCAAATAACTCAGAATTGGGTAGAAGGATCTGGTCAAAGCATTTCACAGAGCTACTATCTCACCCACTTCAAATGAAAAGATGGAAGTTGTACCAAGACCCCCCAAAAAAGAAAAACCCTGCTTGTCCACGAAATAGGTAGGCCAGAAATCAGCAGCTGTGAACAAGAAATAAATGTCTGTAAGTTTTTGTCGTTGTTTAACCCCAGCCTGTAACTGAGCACCACACAGCCACTCACTCTCTCCCCTACAGTGGGATGGGGGAGAGCATCAGAAGAGTAAAAGTGAAAAAACTTATGGGTTGAGATTAGAACAATTTAGTAATGGGGGGAAAAGAACCCAACACAACAACAACAAAAAAAAACCCAACAAACAAACAAAAACCCCAACAACAAATTATAATGAAAAGGAAAATAACAAAAAGAGAGGAATAAAACCCAAGAAAAAACAAGTGATGCAAATGAAAAACAATTGCTCACAACCAACCGACCAATTCCCAGGCTGTTCCTGAGCAATGGCCCCTGGCCACCTTTTCCCCTTGGTTTATATGCTGAGCATGATGTCATACGGTATGGAATATCCCTCTGGCCAGTTCAGGTCAGCTGTCCCGGCTGTGTCCCCTCCCAGCTCCCTGTGCACCCCCAGCCTCCTCACTGGCAGGGCAGTATGAGAAGCTGAGAAGTTCCTGGATTAGTGTAAGCGCTGCTCAGCAACAACTAAAACATCAGTGTGTTATCAACATTATTCTCATTCTAAATCTAAAACACAGCACTATACCAGGTACTAGGAAGAAAATTAACTCTATCCCTGTTGAAACCAGGACAGTTTTATAAGAATCTTGTTTAGAATCAGGTTTGAAAGCCATTTTGCAAACGCAAAAATACCAGCTGCTCAACAATACTATTGATCATAAGCTGGCTAGCGCCAAATACCCTGTGTTTTGTATGCAGAGCTGGGCAAAGAAAACCTCCTCGACTAGATAATGGGCCACAAAAAATTTGCTTCTATCCTTTCTCAAAACCTCAATCCCAGACCTAGATTCTGGATTCTAGCAAAGGCTAGAAGAAAAAGGTAACTCCCGCAACTTTTTTCTTTCTACCACATTCTCAACACCTCCATTCCTTCTTGCCTGCCAGAAGATGAGCAGGAAAACAACAGCACCATGTTACCCAGGGTCAGTAGCTGGATGTCTTAAGGTAGGCGTGCTCTGAGACCTGTATGCTCTCAAGACTTGCCTCAGCAACCCTAAAAGAACTCAAGAGAGGCTGTAATAGAACTAGGCTCCCTTCTTCATACCTGATCAATGGCATCTGGGTTTTCAGAAACATCAAAGATGACCGCTGTGGCTCCTCGCTGTACTGCTCGTTTTGCCTGCAATAAGAAAGACAGCATCCTCAGTCCCACCCCAAAAGACGACTTCTTACCTCATAAATTACTCCCTTTCCTCATCTCCAGATAGCAAACTTAACATTTTATGTTGCTGTGTAGTTAAAACAAATCACAGAGTAATTGCACACACAGGAGTTCCCGAACCAGCATAGAATGCAGTTAAACTTCATTATAGCTTCTACAATCTCTCTGCTCCTTCTTTCTCAAACTCCTTCTTCAAGAAGCTTTTAAAGGAATTCAAATGTGATTTAGATCCTCTAAAGACTTCTAATGTAAGTAACTTTTTTAATTATGCTCTTTTTTTCTCCATGTTACTTGGAAGCACCATTAAAGACAATCTTTGCTGTGATTTGAGGTGGAGAGACAAGCTCACTAGTGCAGAAAATAAAGGTGGATCAGGTTCTTCACACCTGATTTTCAGTGTCATTCTCACAATCATGACAAACTAGCATCTCACAATCCTTGCGAAGCCCCTCAGAGAATACTGCTCTTTCTGACCATTAGAGGTCAGGACTGTTGCATACAACACTTGTTATGCAGATAAGATCAGACCTATTTAAGTGCACAGCTTTTCACAAAATACGCAGTCCAAACCTGGAGTTACCAACAGCACAGAGGAGATATTAGAACATATTAAAATCCTCTGGGATAGAGAAAACAGTATTTTAACAGTATTTTAATGTTCCTCAATGGCTCCACAGAGCAAACATTCCCAGTAACTTTTCAAAGCTGTTACTGCCTTTGTTGGATGCAGAATGCAAGTAACTTTCTCCACGCGATGAGAGCTATCACCATCGCAGTACCAAAGAGGAACACACTGGCTCTTTATAGAGACTAGAGAATCTGAACTTCAATTGAGATACAAAACCACATGAAAGTGATAAATTATCAAATATCACTCAGTGTTTTCCAAGAAGAACCTTGACCAACAAAAAGATGTTAGCTTGAACACCTATAGGTCACTTTCTTTGCTCTGTTCTTACATTTTGTTTTCATTCTAAATCAACCAAGCCCATCAGACAGTGCATGAGCGAAACCAACTTCCAAGTGGGGTCTTTCTTAACCCAGCAGGTATTTGTCCCCTTTGAAGTCAGCACACCTGGCTAATCACTAATAGCTGTTGGGGAGGAAAAGTTGAAAGGAATCTACTATGCGCTCTCCATTGCAGTGGCCCTGAGGTGAAAGTTCATCCAGGTTTCCCTAAAAGGAACCTCCTTACAGACGTGAAGTGCTTGTAGAAATGTTCAGGCCACTCGACTGTTCTTTGAGGATGGTCAGTCAACAAGCAAGGCACTTTGATCTCTGAAGAGATTTTTAAAGAGATTTTGCAGGTTGGTTCAGAAAAAAAACAATTTTGTGAACACACTGAGCAAGCAGTACACAGCACAGTACTTCATTAGGTTTCCACCACTGAGATGTAATCTGTATTCCTTTCTTGGTATTGCAAAATCAGACGTGAAGACATGAAAAGTACTGAGTTCAAAAACCACCCTGGAGAAGATAACAGCCAGTGGGGCGGCCCCCCCCAGCCCCTCCGTACACCCACTGAGCTGGCGGGACTGCAGCCGGCTGGCCCCC